GACGACCACGACCACGACCACGACCACGACGACGACGACGACGACGACGACGACGACGACGACGACGACGACGACGACCCACAACGGCTTCTGGCCCCAGAATGGCCAACCGCGCCCGAGAACGTGCACACACACCAGTGGACGACGACGGCGGCGCCGGCGGCGGTGGCGGCGGCCCCGCGGCCCAGAGCCTCGGGGGCCTCCCCCGGCCATCTTGGCAGCCAGCCGCTCGGGCGGTGCCCCGGGGCACGCTCAGACGGCCCCGCGCCCGCCCCCGGAACCAGGAGCCGAGCCCTAGGCTTCGGTCGGGCGTGTCCCCCCCACAGGGGGATTTTGGATGAAAACTCAAAAATACCCCCCAAAACATTCAAAAGAGAAAAAACGATTCCCAAAATGGTCCCCTGACTAATTTTTGAATATGTTCGAACACTCCTTCTGTAGAGGAACAGGCCCGATTTAACCCTAGGCGGCTGGGCACCTGAAGGAAAAGGGGCTCTACGCCCAGCGGGCCACTCCCTTGGCATCCTGGGATTTACACTCTGTCTACTGAGAGCGTGCTCGGAGGCGGTGAGAACCTAAGCGCGCGTGATTAGAATGTGCCATAGGCTTAGCTCGGGCATGTCCCCCGACAGGCAGATTCTGGACGAACGATTAAGAGATAATCCAAGCATATTCAAAAATGTTTTTTTTTTTTTTTTTTTTTTTTTTAAAAAAAAAACAAAAAAAAAAAAAACCATAAAAAAATCGTCCCCTGATTATTTTTGACTATTTTTGAATATTCCCTTTGTAGAGGGGCGTGCCCGACTTACGCGTAGGCGCTGAGTGGAATGTCTCAGATTCTTAGAGGTCCTCTGTCTGAAGTCTTCTCCATATTTTTCAGGAAGCCTGGACCTCCAATTCCAGGAGTTCGTCGAACGTTCCGCATGACTCTCAGGAAGTTCTGCGTGACTCTCGGGGCGCCCCGCGTGACTTTTCCCGAAGCCAAAAAACAGTGAATCACAATGTGCAATGTGCTGTTCAATGCTTTCAGCCTCGGATGGGGTGAACCCGAAGTGGTCTCACGAGCCCTCTTGTGCTAATCCAGCGACCCCGCTTGCGGAGGTGAAAAGGCGAGTGAGACATTTGACTGTCCCCCTCCCCCTTCCCCCCTCCCCTGGGATCCAAAATGCCACTCTGGGGAGGGGGAGGGGGGAGGGGAGGAGGGGGGGGGACGAGCTCGTCAACGCACCCCCGGAGCCTCTGGAGCCCCTCAAAAGCCCCAAGACGGCCCGACAGGGCTCAGAGTGAGCGCCAAGACAGTCGAAGAAAGCGTCATGACGGCCCAAGGTAGCCCCACGACGATCCAAGATGGCTTCAATACGGGCCACGAGGCCCCCCAAACAGCTCAAAAGCGCCTGCGGTGGATCGCCTAGAGGGCCCCAAGAGGCCCAAATCATGTCATTTCCTAAGAACATTATTCACTGCGTGGAGCTCCCCATATGTGCATCTACTCGCATGGACCTGTCCGCCGTGAATGTCTAGGCGCAAGAGCTTTCGAATATTAGCGGGCTTCAGTTGTGACGGTCTGGACATCAATCTAACTGCGAATGAATTGGAGTGTGAATGAGCCTCAGTAGTACGAGCGCGTCTCTGTGCATGAGCCTGGGGCCTCCTGGGGCCTCCTGAAACCTACTGGGGCTTCCTGGGGTCTCCAGGAGCCTCTTGGGACCTCCTGGGACCTCCTAGGAAGGTTTCGTGCCCCAGGGAGGCGCAATCTATAGCAACAGACGTACATAAAACATTGCGGATTAGAGCCACAGGAGAAGGGCAATCTATAGGAACACGCGTAAAACACCAAGGACTCGTGCCCCAGGAGAGGCCCAATACATAGGAACATGAGTAAAACATTTAGGATTGTGTACACAGGAGAAGGACCATCTATAGAAACATACGTAGAACATCAAAGAATCGTGCTCCAGGTGAGGCCCAATCGATAGGAGCATACGTAAAACACATGGGATTGGAGCCACTCCTGTTGCCTTCTGAGGCCTCCTGCTCCTGGGGCCTCTCGGGGCCTCCTGTTGCCTTCCGAGGCCTCCTGGCGCTTCCTGTTGTCTCCTGGGGTCTCCTGTGGTTTCCTGAGGCCTTCTGGAGCTTCCTGGGGCCTCCTGGAGCCTCTTGGGACATCCTGTGGCCTCTTGAGTCTTTCTGTGGCCTCCTGATGCCTCCTGGGACCTCATGTGGTCTCCTGGAGCCTCCTGGAGCCTGTTGGAGCCTCCTGTGGCATCCTGAGAAGAATCTGCGCCCACGAGCCTGGCCACCAAAACTAGCAAACCGATCGAGACATCCTCAAAATCTGGCCCACCTGGGGGGTGAAAATGAGCGCCTCGCTCGAGACATCCTCCAAATCTGCTCCGAAAGCGAAGGATGTTGGGCACAGAAACAGGCAAACCGCCTGAGACATCCCCACAAAATGGCCGCGAACGAGCCCGTGCAACCACCCCTGGCGGCTCCCCTTAGGGGTGCTGAAATGAGCGCCTCGCTCGAGACATCCTCCAAATCTGCTCCGAAAGCGAAGGATGTTGGGCACAGAAACAGGCAAACCGCCTGAGACATCCCCACAAAATGGCAGCGAACGAGCCCGTGCAACCACCCCTGGCGGCTCCCCTTAGGGGTGCTGACATGAGCGCCTCGCTCGAGACATCCTCCAAATCTGCTCCGAAAACGAAGGATGTTGGGCACAGAAACAGGCAAACCGCCTGAGACATCCCCACACAATGGCCGCGAACGAGCCCGTGCAACCACCCCTGGCGGCTCCCCTTAGAGGTGCTGAGTATGAGTAAGTCTGTGTATGAGTAAGTCTGTGTATGTGTACGTCTGGGTATGACTAATACTGTGTATGAGTAAGTCTGTGTATGAGTAAGTCTGTATATGAGTATGTCTGAGTGTGAGTAAGTCTGAGTATGAGTAGGTCTGAGTATGAGTAAGTCTGAGTATGAGTAAGACTGTGTATGAGCAAGTCTGGGTATGTCCGACAGGAGGGGAGGAGAAAAGAGGAGGAGGACGGAGGAGGAGTAGGAGGCGTCCAAGTAATTATTCACTGCGTGGAGCTCCCCATATGTGCATCTACTCGCATGGACCTGTCCGCCGTGAATGTCTAGGCGCAAGAGCTTTCGAATATTAACGGGCTTCAGTTGTGACGGTCTGGGCATCAATCTAACTGCGAATGAATTGGAGTGTGAATGAGCCTCAGTAGTACGAGCGCGTCTCTGTGCATGAGCCTGGGGCCTCCTGGGGCCTCCTGAAACCTACTGGCCTCTTGGGACCTCCTGGGACCTCCTAGGAAGGTTTCGTGCCCCAGGAGAGGCGCAATCTATAGCAACAGACGTACATAAAACATTGCGGATTAGAGCCACAGGAGAAGGGCAATCTATAGGAACACGCGTAAAACACCAAGGACTCGTGCCCCAGGAGAGGCCCAATACATAGGAACATGAGTAAAACATTTAGGATTGTGTACACAGGAGAAGGACCATCTATAGAAACATACGTAGAACATCAAATAATCGTGCTCCAGGTGAGGCCCAATCGATAGGAGCATACGTAAAACACATGGGATTGGAGCCACTCCTGTTGCCTTCTGAGGCCTCCTGCTCCTGGGGCCTCTCGGGGCCTCCTGTTGCCTTCCGAGGCCTCCTGGCGCTTCCTGTTGCCTCCTGGGGCCTCCTGTGGTTTCCTGAGGCCTTCTGGAGCTTCCTGGGGCCTCCTGGAGCCTCTTGGGACATCCTGTGGCCTCGTGAGTCTTTCTGTGGCCTCCTGATGCCTCCTGGGACCTCATGTGGTCTCCTGGGGCCTCCTGGAGCCTGTTGGAGCCTCCTGTGGCATCCTGAGAAAAATCTGCGCCCACGAGCCTGGCCACCAAAACAAGCAAACCGATCGAGACATCCTCAAAATCTGGCCCACCTGGGGGGTGAAATGAGCGCCTCGCTCGAGACATCCTCCAAATCTGCTCCGAAAGCGAAGGATGTTGGGCACAGAAACAGGCAAACCGCCTGAGACATCCCCACAAAATGGCCGCGAACGAGCCCGTGCAACCACCCCTGGCGGCTCCCCTTAGGGGTGCTGAAATGAGCGCCTCGCTCGAGACATCCTCCAAATCTGCTCCGAAAGCGAAGGATGTTGGGCACAGAAACAGGCAAACCGCCTGAGACATCCCCACAAAATGGCCGCGAACGAGCCCGTGCAACCACCCCTGGCGGCTCCCCTTAGGGGTGCTGAAATGAGCGCCTCGCTCGAGACATCCTCCAAATCTGCTCCGAAAGCGAAGGATGTTGGGCACAGAAACAGGCAAACCGCCTGAGACATCCCCACAAAATGGCCGCGAACGAGCCCGTGCAACCACCCCTGGCGGCTCCCCTTAGGGGTGCTGAGTATGAGTAAGTCTGTGTATGAGTAAGTCTGTGTATGAGTAAGTCTGGGCATGAGTAGGTCTGTGTATGAGAAAGTCTGTGTATGTGTACGTCTGGGTATGAGTAAGTCTGAGTATGACTAATACTGTGTTTGAGTAAGTCTGGGTATGAGTGAGTCTGTGTATGAGTACGTCTGGGTGTGAGTAAGTCTGTGTATGAGTAAGTCTGTGTATGAGTATGTCTGAGTGTGAGTAAGTCCAAGTATGAGTAGGTCTGAGTATGAGTAAGTCTGAGTATGAGTAAGTCTGTGTATGAGCAAGTCTGAGTATGAGTAAGTCCGACAGGAGGGGATGCCAGTTCCCAACAAAACACACACGCCGGCGTCCACCCGGCTAGCGTGGACATTAGAAGTATACAGATAGCCAAGAGAACTGTACAACCACATCGGGTAACAAAGATGGGCGATAAAGAACTCTCGTGGTGAAGCGCGGTGGCAGCTGAACCAAGACCTTAGGCTCAGCAGGTCAAAAGGAGGAGGAGGAGGAGGCGCGGGGCGACGGCGGGCGCCGCGCGCTGGACAGCCTGCAGGATTTCTCGCGCGGGCGCGCGGCCTCAGAGCTGCTGGGCGAAGGCAGGGGGAGAGGAGGAGGGGGAGGGAACAACATCGCGACGTTGTCTCTGCGGGCAAGCGAAGAGCCTCGAGAAAAAACGCCAAGGCAAGGCGAATCGCTCACAATCTAGCTACCTATATAGCTAAAGAGTCGCGACTCCAGTGAACAGGAGGAGGAGGAGGGGGAGGAAGGAAGGAAGGAAGGAAGGGCAGAGCGGCGGACGGGGGCAGACGGGGGCGGTCGTCGTGTCGTCGTGCGTCAGGCCCCCTCCGCTGGAGGCGCCGCCGGCGCCGCCGCCGCAGCAGCAGCGGCCGCCACGGGGGCTGCCGCGGCTGTCGCCACCGCCGCCTCCGCCATGCCAGCAGCAGCAGCAGCAGCAACCGCGCCAGAGGTAGCGCCAGGCTCTCGTGGGACGGCCCCTGGGTGCCCGCGCCGCTCCGCCACGGCCTGGTCCGAGGGTTCTAAGTCGGCCGCATCATCCTCGTCCAAGGCCAACGGCGTGCACGCTCGCACCATACGAGCGGCGCGACGCCAGACGCTGACGGCGATCCGGGTTTGCACGTGGCGCAGCTCCACGTGCGCCTCCGTGCCTCGCCGCCGCGCGTGCGCGCGGGCGATCGACTGCAGCACCCGCAGGAACTCGTCGTGGAAACGACCGAAAGCGCTTACAGCCAGAACCCGGTACTCCACTCCGATGTCCTCAAGCTCGCTCCGGAAGGAGTCGGCTCGGCGCTGCTTCCGGCGCACCATCGTCTCCACGCAGTCGTCGCCCGCTCCTGCCGCCATAGGCGCGATGATTCCCACGTCCAATGCCGCCAGGCGCCCGGACGGATCCGGGACGCCAGTCAAAACGTCCGCAGGGCGGAGCATTGGGCGTGAGCTCACGAGGCCTACCGGCTCAAGCTCTGTGCTGCCATCAACAGCACTGGCGAATGCGTACACGTCGTCACGGACCGCATTGTGTCCCGCATAGCAGGGGCCTTTGGCGCAAAGGAGCCCATGGCTGCCAGACGGGCCAATGATGCATTCACCGCAATTGGCGCACACCACCTCCTCGTCGGGCCCCCCCGCCCCGAGGCGAATGCGGACGGCGAGGGCGAACTCGTCGCTGGTCATAATCCGTCCCTTGTGCGGGGATATGGCCCACAGCCAATCATGGCATTGGTTCGGGTGGCAGAGCTCCTGGAGGCGGTGCACTGCGTCGGTGTTCCCACTCGCTCGCGCTCGGGAGAGGAGCCCAGTGGCCACTGTGCGGTCCGCCTCCCTGGTGAGATCGCGCTGGAGGCGCAGCGCGCCGCGGCCCCGAGGGGCGGCCGGGTGCTCGGGGTCCTCTGCGCCGGCCTCATCCACGGCCGCAGCGCCTGGCCTGTGGCTGGCAGCGCGCCCGCCAGCTCCTGGCTCGTTCTCCTCCTCCTCACCAGCGCACCAGTTCCTCCAGCGGCGCTCAGCCAGCGCTGCTGCCTCCTCGAGGTGGGCGCGCACGGCGTCGTGGACGCCAGCAGGGAGGACGTCCCGCCACCTCTGCGCCGCCGCGTGCGTGCGCCTGTCGTACTCCCGCATGCACCTGGCGGCGGACCCCAAGCCCTCCTCCTCCACGTGAGCACACATGGCAGCGACGAGTGGCCGTGAGGCGACCCGGCTGGCAATGAAAGCGGGCAGCGCGCACTCGGACGCCTCCCGGAGCCCGAGCCCCCCGGCATCCACAGAAAGAGTGGCCTGAATCCAGCCCTCGTCCAAGAGTTTACCGTGAAGTGCGTCCTCTGTACCGTGCCTGAGCGAAGCGTCGAAGGCGGCCAGGGCATCGCCGTCGACCATATCCCCGTTGCACCGGAGAATGTAGCCGACCTTAGAGACGTCGAAGCAGCGGCGGTGGAGCACGAGCTCGCACTGGGATTGCTCCAGGCCCCCAATCCCCGCCCTCTGAGCAGCCACCTTATTGCATGTGCGCCGGAAATGTTGGTTCACCTCTTCGCTGCTTCCGACCATGGCACCCAGAACCTTGACGCCGCGCTGGCTGTCGGGGACCTTGCACGTTTGGGCGATGTATCCCTGCTCCCAACCATTCAGCTGATCCCGGCGGTCTGGGTGGCACAGAAGTCGCGCGACGCTTTTGCAGTTGGGCCCAGTGTCCCTGCTGCGCCCAATGCTAGCGATCGCTTGGTCAATGCGCCGCAGCCACCTCTCTGCGACCTCGACGCGGACGAAAGCCTGCCCATCATCGATGAACCATTCATCCACGGCGCCGATGCGCCCGCCCGCCCGCCCTTGGAGTTCGTCGCGGGCTGCGCCCACTGCGTCGCCGAGTGTGAGAGCAGAGGCGGCGGGTCCGAATACGTCTCCTTGGCCAGACCCTCTGTCGGTGTGTGCCACGCCGCCCTGGGGGAGGTCCATGAGCTCGTCGTCTGCGTGGACCCACTGCGTCCAGTGGAGGGCCTCGGGGAAGTGGCGACGCAGCGCTCCCCGAATACGCTCCCGCAGGATGGTGCCGAACATGTTCGCCAGATCTAAATCGAACGCCACAACTGGGGGAATATGCCCCGCCACGGCTTCCGCCTCCACCAAGGACCTCCAATGCACGAGAGCTTCGCAGCCGCCAGGCATTTCGACGCCCCATTGCCGAGAAGCCGCGAAAGCAGCTCGGAGTTTCGGAGCCGCTCTCTTCTGGACCTTCTTGGCCATTGCTGCTCGCAGGAACTCGCCGACTCGAACTGGCCTAGGCTTGTCGGATCCCTTCTTCTTCAGGAAGACCAAGCGAGTGCGCGTAAGCCACCGCGCCTCAGTCCCAAGCTTGCCGTCGCGCGAGGCCTCTTGGAACCTCAGCATCGCGCGGGCCAGCCTGTTGGCAAGCGGGCGTTGCTTTATTCCCAGACACTCCTTGGCGTGCTCAGCCCTGGTCCCAGTCGGCCCTGGCGCCGTCAGACAAGCAAACCTGACGCCTTTCAAGGGGTGGTCGTCCCGCAGCGGGTCCTGGGATGCAGCGTCGTTCGGGTCGCTTGGCAGCACGGGGCCCCCCGGCCCCGGCGGCGCAGCGACGCCGTCGGCGGGTGCGACGCCGGCTGGGGCACCCAGCGAGCGGCAGCTGGCTGGGGAGCTTGCGGCGCAAGCTCGGCCGCCCATCTGGCCTCGTCCGCTGGCGTGAGTTTGGCGGTCTCCCCAGTGAGCGTGAGGACAGCTCTTCGGTACGCCCCCTCGGCGCACAAGCGTTTGCCGCGGCGCCGCTTGGCAGCCGTCGAGCGTGCCTCGGCTCCAGGTCCGCGTCGGTTCACAGGCCGTCGTCGAAGGATGGCCTGAGCCTCGGCGCGGCAGAGCAGTTCCTCATAGCATCCACGCTCCCAAAGGGCGGCCCGGGCGGCCAGCTCTGTCGGCACGTGCGTGCCGGCGGGGGGGTCAAGCAAAAGTAGCCGTGACCGAGCCTCTTCCAAAGCCGTCCAGCCTGGTAACCCCGCGGCGGCGCCTTCGAGAGTGGCAGCCCAGATGCGGGCGTGGCGGGCGCGCAAGGCGACTGGGATGTGTGTCTGCGTGGTGCCCCTGAGGGTCCTGACGCGGTCAGCGAAATCAGCTCCCAGCACCACGTCCTCGGGGTCTCTCCGAAGGTTGCCTTGCGAGGCTGGTTCTTGGGACGGCGGCTGCGCTGGGACGAGGGCCCCGCCTCGAGGGCCTGGAATGATATCGCCAACCTGCATCGGCCGTAACGGCGTCGAGTGTCTGCACCTGTTGCACGTCGTCATGCCGATTCGCCGTATGCCTCCGCATGCGGGGTCCGAGCACACCGCTCTGTCAAGAGCGCGGAGCACAGCAACCGCCCCGTCATCAAGCGCCTCGCCCGCGTGCATCGTGGTCAAATGGCGCATGAGCCCGGGTCCAGTCTCGAAGGATCGCTCGCGGCATAGGGGGCATGCGATGACTCCGTTGGGGAACGCCGCCACTGGAGGTGGCTCCGCTGGAGGCGGGGCTTCTGCGATGCCAGCGCGCAGGGCCCGAGCAGCGGCAGAAGCGTCCATCCGCCGACGTCGCTGGGGGCCGTCCTCCCCAACATCAGCTCCTCCTCCCCGCATGGCCTCCTGGGATGCTCGCCTTTGCGCTTCAGCCTGTGGATCGCCAGCCCCTGGGTTGACGACAGAGGCAGGGGGAGGGACTTGGGCAGAGTGGGCTGGTATGCCCTGACCCTGGGCCTCCGCGCTGCTGCTCCCAGGCTGCGGCAACCCAGCTCCAGCGAGAAACCCCCCTGCAGCGTCCACAACCGCGGCTGGTGCCCGCGCAGGCGGCGGCGGGGGCGAAGGCGCGGCGCCCTGCACCTCGCTCGATGGCATCCCAGCGTCCTCGTACATCATAGTGGCAGACGCAAGATCTGCTGAAAGACGTGGCGCCACAGGGTCGGTCAGACTGCGGCGGAGATCACGAGGACGTGCTCGGGCAGAAGCGGGAGCGACTGGCTCCTGATCCAACCTGCGGGGATTCCGGCTCCGCTCCCGATCTGGGAAAGATGGGGCCCAAGCTGCCACGAGACCGAAGGCAAGGCGACCAGCGAGGGGGCCTGGGGCGAGCGCACCCGCCGCGACAGCGCCCAGGGCGCGGCATGCAGAAGGGCGGACGTGAACGTCCAGCGAAACGAGCGTCATCAGGAAGAAAGCGAGGGTCATATGAACAGCGCCACCTCCGTTCAGCAGGCGATGCATCGCTGCGACGGGAAGCGGCCGCAGGAAGACGAGCCCTCGAGATCGCAGGACCTTACGTGAGCACAGCCAGGTAATTTTCAGCATAGCGTAGGCGGCAAAGCGAAAGACCACATCGAACAGCTGGCCGAAGATATTCAACAACTGGCGCAACGCTTTCAACAACAGTCCAGCTTCCTCCACTGGGCTGGTCACGGGTGAACCTCCGCTGGCCGTGCACCCCGTCGGAGAGGCTGCGCACGATCGAACGTGCCGGAGATAGAACAGCTCCGCCGCGGTGGTCCTGGATGGCTCGGCAGGCCGAGGAAGAGGTTTGGCGACCGCGCGCCGGAAGAGCAGCTGCAGGTGCCGGGCGGCGAGGGCGCCTGGGCCAGCGGCGCCGCAGCGGGCGCGAGCCGTACAGGGAGCACAAGTCAGCCCCGTAGCCGTCGAGGCCGCGCAACTCGGCAACGAGGATGTCGTCCAGGTGTCCTGCAGGGAACCTCTGGGGTGTGGACAAATTGGCAGCCTGGCGCACCCCGTCGTCGCCACGGCTGGACGCAGCGTGAAAAGCTTGTCGTGTGGGACGGGGGGTGGACCGTGATTGGCCGCGGCTGGGGTCGACCCCTTGGTAACCAAAGGACAAAGGTGCGGGTCGGAGAGGCGGTCCTCGGAGGACCCCCAGGGGAGGGGAGCGGACAACCCAGCAGGGGTGGAGGGAGGGAAGGACGAGAGGGTGGAGAGGACCCCTGGCGATTCACCCCTGCGGCTCGGACACCCGCCAGAAGACCCAAGAGGACTGGGGCGCGGGATCGGACCCACGCTCCACAGAGATTTCACCTGCAACCACTCCGGAAAGCTCTCGCGAGGTGGGGCGCCCAAGGCAACCCGAGTTCCGAACTGACCATCTTGACCCTGCGTCCCCGAAGCCGTCGAGGATGAGCCAGCAGCGCAGGCGGGCCACGCGGCCAGGGGGCAGCGGCTGGCGGTGGCGACGGTGAACAGGATGGCAGTCTGATCCTCAAGGGAGCCTGCCGAGGGTTCCAAACCTGACGGGCCACATAGAGGCAGCCAGGAAAGAGAGTGGCACGGGGGGGTGGGGAAAAGAAACCCGGCAGGGGTGGAGGGAGAGAGGGACGGGAAGGTGGACAGGACCCCTGACGAGTCCCCCCTGAAGCTCTGACATCCGCCGGACGACCCAAAGGGACCCCGACACAGAATGAGGCGCACGCTCCCCGGAGATTTCACACGCAGCCACTCCGAAAAGCTGTCGCCACAGGCAGCCAGGGCGACGGCCGTCTGTGACGACATGGTCCGAGGATGGGCTGGCATCCCCCGAGACAGGACGGACCTGAACGAACTGGCACAAGCACCGTCCTGCAGGCGGCACGTGAAGAGGATACCCCCCTCCAGAAATAAACTCGCGGGGGGGTCCTGATGGAACCACCGGGTGGGGAGGAGGTGCCCACTGAATCTTCCGAAATCGGTTTCAGAGGGTTGGGTCCGCATGGTCCCAAGACTGAAAAGGTCAACGCCCACCCTTTCGGCTTTCCCTCCCGGTCTCCCAGAAGCCGTCCAGTGCGGGCCAGGCTCGCGCGGGGCGCCACTGCTAGGGCGAACCGCGATTCCAGTCGCGCAGCGTGCGCCGGCACACGTCGTGACGCACGTCGAAGATGACTCGTCGGATCGTCTGGTCTGTCCACGTTGTCGGTCGGGGGCTGGGGTTGGCGGGTCGGCGGTCTCGGAGGAAGAGAGAAGACGAGAAGTCAAGAGAGGCTGCTCAACACTGTGCGGCCAGCTCTGGCTGCAACCCAAACCGGGCACGGCTTTAACATTGAAGGACGGGGCGGGAAGGAAGGGAAGACGGGTAACGTAGTTAACAGAGGCATGCACGGCGGACAGATCCCAATCACTGCCAGCCTTCGAATTATGCGCAGAAGGGATCCGAACAGAGCCCCCACCGAGAGCGTGTCCCGTTGCTTCGGGGTGCGAGGAACATGAACAAAGAGACGCAGTGAAGTGAGGGGGGAGGGTGCCGAGGGCGGATGGGAACAGTGAAAATAACATTGAAAAGTGATGAGGGATGGCCGACACCCCATCGTCAGCTGAAAACCTCACTAGTCTGACGCCGTAGGGCGCCGCGGAGTCAGGAGGGGCGGGAGTCAGGGAGAGGGCAGGGAGGAAAGGAGAGTGTAGGCTCAGGTGGCACTCAGAATCATGCATACTTGCAACCAGCACCCCACCAATTGCATCCCACTCTGGATTCACGGGCGCGCGCTTCTGGAACGGCAGCCCGGCTACTTGCGGGCGAGGCGTCTGCTCCGCCGTGCCCCCCTTGAGCTCGTCCCAGGGGGTGTTGCTGATCTGCCCCTGGACCAGTTCCGCGGAGGTCTCCGCGTGGCCGTTGACGATGTCCTCGTGCAAGAGGGCGTTGCCGGTCCCGCCCTTGACCTCGAGCGTAGTGGTCTGCTCGTGGCAGCCTGGCCCAGAGATGTTCGCGAAGCCGGCGATGTGATCCTGCAGGCACAAGATGTGGATCGCGTGCGACACGGCGGGCTGGCCATCGTCCGTCTGCACCTCGACGTCGTCGCCCACGGGTCTGGCGGGCCACACGCCGATGAAATCAGTTGCCTCTCCGAGCAGCCTCTCGACCTCCATGCTCACTTGCTCGACGGGGCTCTCGGTCGGCGGCACCACCGAGGCCAGGGAGGGGGCCGCAGCGAGGGCGACGCGGCAGGCGGCGGCGGCGGCTGCCCACAGCGCGGCCGCGCAGAGGAGATGGCCGCCGCAGCGACTGGGGGCTCTGCCAGGCGCGGCGCCAGGCGAGGGGGCCATGGCGCGCGGCTTGGAAGTGAAGCGGGGAAGATCGAACTCGGGCGCGCCTGGCTGGGCGGCACTTGGTCCAGGAAAGAGGAGGAGGAAGGAGGAGTAGGAGGCGTCCAAGTAATAACAAGAACCCCATCTTAGGATATGGGGAATAACAAGAACCCCATCTTAGGATATGGGAAAAACGTGCATATTCAGCACATTCACATTTTACACAGCGAACACGACGGCCCAAGTGGCCCCCAAGATAGTCCCAAGACGGCCCATGATGCCTCGAAGAAGGCCCCAAGACGGCCCAAAGGCAGCCCCTGGAGCCCCCCAAGACGGCCCAAGACAGCCCCTGGAGGGCCCCAAGAGGGCTCCAAGAAAGCGCAAGAGGGGGACTACGAACTGACATTTCGAGCCTTTCCCACCGAGATGGCCCCTCGAAACCCCCAGAGGCAGAGGCCCCACCAAGAAGCCCCCCAAAAGGCTCCCACGAGGCCCCCCAAAGCCTCCCACATGCCCTCAAGAGTTCTCCAAGAGGCGCCAGAGACATCCCAAGAGAACCTCAGATTCATCCAGGAGGCTCCTGAACTAAGATGTAACTTCCACGACCGTCTCAAACACTCACTCATTGCGGGGGTCGGCGGAACAGCGCAAGCCACTTGAATACTGCCCCTGAGACAGCTAAAAGGCCCGTAGAGGCGCCCGCATGATCCCTAGAGGCCTCCAAGAGGCCCCTAACAGCCCTCCAAGAAGACCCCAGGAGGCGCAAGATGTCCCCGAGAGACACCAAAGGGCTTCTTAGAGCCAAGACGAATCCTCAGAAGCCCGACGAGGCTTCGAAAAGGACTCTGATCCACAACCTGTGCACGGTGGCGAGATGGGCAAATCTACATTGACAACTGTACACATGCGCATACCCTCGCTTCCTCCCCACGATGGTGACGACGGCGAACAAGCAGCAACGGTGTTGGAAAGCATCAAAGACAGCAGGTCCTGCCAGTCCTTCTGCCTGACGGCTCCGAACAAGTGGGCGATGAGCTTCCAGGTGGTCTGGCCAGAATTGCACTTCTCGCAGACGTCGAATACAGTATCTGCGATAGAATGTTCCGAATGCCCATCCTGCGTTGGGTCGGAGGCTCGGGGCGAACCTGCTGATGCATCAAATCCACTCTAGGGATACACGAGCGTCGCGACACTTAGCAGCACGACTGGTCACGATGCTCCAGTGCCTGGGCGAGACCACTACGACCCCGTCCGAAAGCAGCGCAGTCTCGACGGCAAGGATGAGGGGCACGCCTTGTGAGCTGCACAAGTGTTAGCTAGAATGCGCAAGGGCCACCGTGGGCGACTGCGAGACCCCAATCCAACAGCCTGAGAGTTTGTGCAGCCCAACGCGCGCGCACACGCCTCCATCACGCCCTCTCGTGGCAGCCTCTCTCCTCTGCTTGGTGCTCGCATGCCTGCACCCGTTCGTCCCTGGCGCAGTCGGTCGGCCTTGGGCAACCGGCTGTGCATGGAGGGTCTGGGAACACACACAGCAGCTGCGAAAGTGCGCACGACCATTGCACAGGTGTGTGCGCCAGCTCGGCTTGTCTCTGTCTTCGCGCGTGCCTAGGACCAGCCAGCATTCTTCGCTAGAGAAGCGCCCAGCGCAGAAAGAACATACGATCGACGAACGCACTCGACACACTCATTCGACAAGGAACGGCGGTTCTGATGATCGAGTGCCCGCTGATTGCCACGGTGCAGCTAACCGAAGACAAACCCATGCATAGACCCGTTGAGGGGAGGTCTGCCACAACCCCTGCAGAGGCGCATAGTTGTGAGAGAGCTGCCATGGACCCGAAAACCTCAATCACCACAAACGCCCACGGAAGCGCCGATGCATGTGGTTTGCCAGTGCGCTGCTGTGACAACC